CAGGAAGGACGTGTACTGGGAGCATGCCGGCGCCGGCCTGACGAGGCTCATGTCGACGCCCCAGCGCGCCGCGTAGCCCGCGTGCAGAGACAGCTCGTTCTCCACGCCGGCCAGAAGGTCGCCAAACTCGGCGGCGCTCGCGGCGTCGCCGGCGGCGGACGACTTGTCGCGCGCGAGTGCGTACGCCCGCGAGAAGGCGCCGAGGAAGAACTTGTCCTGCGAGAGGAAGCCCTGAAAGGCCTGCAGCGGCAGGGAACCCGCCTCGAGGGCGCGCACAAAGCCGTTGCTCTCGCAGGCTGACACGACGCGCTGGACGGCCGGGTCCGACCACAGCGACGCGGACAGCGATGGCGCTGCCGTCGACCGGAGCGACGACGCTGCTGTTGACTGGACGGCGGATGGCGACGTCGCGATCGCTGGGTGGAGAAGCAGTGCGATGGCGAACGCGGCAGCGGCGAGGAGAAGCAGCGCGGGCGCGGCTACATGGCAGCGGGGACGCTCGTCGGTGAGCATCGATGCTTTCGGCAGGCACGGCTCGTTGGGCGGAATTGACGCGGAGATTTTTTTGTCAGTTTCCGCTCCCCCCCCGCAAGGCGCGAGACACACGTCAGCGATTCGACGAGGGTTCCAGAGGGGAGGGGCGGGTGAGACGTAGGACGGTGTTCATCATTCAACAACACGCACAAACCTGTCCTAGCGGACAACACGTCGGTCGAGTGCTATACTCGGACTCTCGGACGGGGACGACTGCAAAACGATCGCGAGACAGAACAGAAGAGGGTAGAGTACAGCGCGTGCTCACTGAGCTAGTGGAGCGCGCGTCAAGACAAACAGTCACTGAGCGGGCAGAGCGCAACGTACGGGCGCAACGTACGGGCAGAGCAGAGCAGTGGCGCGGCGGCCGTGGCTACGCACAACAGCGAGCGGCCACTGCGCACGCAAGCGCAAATACTAGAATACGCCCGCCGCGCCGAGCCCGCGCTCTGGGGCGCGGATTGCAGTGGCACCGTGCCCACCTCCGGGGTGTGTGGCGCGGGCGTTGAGCAGCTCGCTCCTCTAGCGGACGTGCTTCTGGATG